GCACTCCAGCCTAGGCGACAGAGTGAGATTACAACTCTAAATAAATAAATTTGATAGATGAATATAGGGAAGGAAGGGGGGGGAGAGAGAGAGAGAGAGAGAGAGAGAGAGAGAGAGAGAGAGAGAGAGAGAAAGGGAGAAAGAGAGAAAGAGAGAAAGAGAAAGAGAAAGAAAGAAAGAAAGAAAGAAAGAAAGAAAGAAAGAAAGAAAGAAAGAAAGAAAGAAAGAAAGAAAGAAAGAAAGAAAGAAAGAAAAAGAAAAAGAAAAAGAAAGTCAGAAAAGGAGATATACACAGCCTGGGGAATGAAGAATAACCTGGGAAGGCAGGACTTTGTGTGGACTACTTAAATAGTATTAAGTAAGACTTAAACACTCACCACTTTCTGTTTTATTTAAATTATCCTTTTGTTAAGCTGAACCATAAGGCAACTTGTGGGAATAGATTTTGTCTCTGCCTTTATAGAAGTCAAACATGGGTAACAAGTGGTCTGTGACCAGGACAAAGTCATAGGTAGTTTTTAAAAGCTCAGCAAGGAAGTCATAAGAATCACTGATCTAAGTCAACTAAAAACAACTACAATTTGTCCTAGTTGAAATGTATCAACCCTGGAAAAACATTTTCACATGTTTTAACAATGTTAAGTCTTACAAATGGATTAAAAAATAAGTTGTAAGGCCAGGCACGGTGGCTCACATCTGTAATCCTAGTATTTTGGGAGTCTGAGGTGGAAGAATTGCTTGAGCCCAGGACTGCTTCAAAATCAGCCTTGGGGGCCAGGCTTGGTGGCTCAGCCTGTAATCCCAGCACTGTGGGAGGCCGAGGTGAATGGACTGTGTAAACTCGCGGGCTTAAGACCAGCCTGGGCAAGTTGGAGAGACCTCGTCTCTACAATAAATAAATAAAAAATTAGCCAGGTGCGGTAGCAAGCACCTGTAGTTCCAGCTACTTGGAAGGCTGGGGAGGAAGGATCACCGGAGCCCAGCAGGTCAATGCTGGAGTGGCCATGAACTTGCCACTGCACTCCAACCTGGGCAACAGAGTGATTCTCTGACTCAAAAAAAAAAAAAAAAAAAAAAAGTCAGCCTTGGGCAGCAAAGCAAGACCTTGTCTCTACAAAAAAAATTTAAAAATTACCTGAGCATGGGAGTGTGCATCAACTATTTGGGAAACTGAGGTGGAAGGATCACCTAAGCCCAGAAAGTTGAAGCTGTGGCGAGCTGTGATGGTGCTACTGCAATGCAGACTAGGCAACAACACACACACACACAAAAAAGAAAGCAAGAAAGAAGGAAAGGAAAAGAAAAGAAACAGGTTTTAAGTCTGTCTTAAGTAGAGAACTAGTTTTACATTTTCTAGTTTTTTATTTGAAAAAACTTGTACTTAAAAGTACTTTTTCACATTCAAAGATTACCTAAAAAGAGTAAATAAAAAAATAAAACCTGAATATGAAGCAAATTTTGTCTATGTAATATAAAGTCAGTGGAATTCATTTCTATAGGATCCATGCTCACCAATCCATCTATGCCACTAGTTACCTCAGATAAACACCTGGTTAAGGATCACCATATGTCCTTGCCATAGCAGAAAAGGAAACCTAATACATTCCTGTTTCAAACACTCCCATGCAACAAACTAACAAAAAAGTTTGGCCAGATATTCTTGTAATTTTGTGTGTATAAGTTTTATTTTTGTTAGAAATGTTACCTTAAATTGTATCTTTAAGAATTTGTTGTCTCATCATATTTTCTTCTTTCAGACTCAAACATGCATGTGTTGGATTTCCTTCTCTGATTTCCATGTCTATCATTTTCACACTTTGTTTCAACATTTTTGTTAATTTTGGTAATATATACCTGCTCTTTCCATCTCTACCTTCTATGCCTCTCATTGTATTTTCCACAGTTCTCTACTGTCCTTGTGATCCTTTCAATTCTACCATCACTTCAGTGATGATTTTAGTTTTTAATTTCATTTTTTCCCCACTCAATCAGCTTATGATGCATTTTCTCATGCAGTCACACTATTTCTTCCCTAGCCTCTTAATTAACTGCTCTGTGTTGTCAGTGGTAAATACTTCATAAAGCTTTTTAGATTCATGGCAAAACGTTTGGTCAAGATGTTCACCTTCTTTATAGCAGTGCCTTTAAGGTGAGTGTTCTTCATTTGTCCTTTGTGTTCCAGTTCTCCTTCTCCCGATTCCTCCCTCCCATCTTTCTTCCTTCCTTTCAGGTCAGGGGTCTCACTATGTCACCAAGATTGCAATGCCAAGGTATCATCACAGCTCACCTCAGCCTCGACCTCCTGGGTTCAGGTGATCCTTCCACTTCAGCCTCCTGAGTAGCTGGGACTAAAGGGGTGTGTCAGTTTATTTTTTTATTTATTGTAGCGATAAGGTCTTGATACAATGTTGCCTAGGCTGGTCTTGAAGTCCTGGACTCAAATAATCCTCCCACCTTGGCTTCCCAAAGTGGTGAGATTATAGGCATGAGCCACCACGCCTGGCCAAAACTGTTTCTTGATTCAGGTTTTTACATAAATGATAGCTCAGTGTTTTACTTCTCAACAGACAATGCAGATGCACAGTCCTAAGTTCACAATGCAAAATCACCTTCTCCCTCAAGCTACAGAGATAAACATACTACTCCCTGTAAAATGGCAGTTTGTGTAACTCCTTGTTTGGCTTCATTTCCTCAACCTCTTAGAATCAAACCGGTTGTAGAAAAGCTCTTGCCATTAGCTGAAGAAATTCCTTCAGCTTTTGTCAACAAGGGATTTAGGTGTTGTACTGGGGGGGGGGTGCAGGTATATCTTTGTCTTGCAGTTTCATGAAATGTTTCTTGTCAGCTCTGAGCTCCACACTTGTGACATCCTCTCTCCATTCTTCTCACATGCAGCCTGCTTAATCTCTACTGCTCTTGGCAGCAATTTTACCTATGTTGTGGTTTGGGACTTTGACTTGTCTTCTAATTTAGTGGAATATTGGGTTTATGTTTTAGTTCTCCCCTCTCTTTGTTTTTAGCGAATTACCAGAAAACAAAAGAAAATGCCAACTTTATAGTACCATCTTCAAACCCCAAATCCAATAAATATCTTAAGAGTATTTTATACTAGACAGAAATTTTATATTTCTGAAAGATAAAGATATGCTTTTCTATTACTTTTTTTACTGTGGAGTAAAATGTTAACTTTCCACAAAACACTAATTTTCACAAGACCATTAATAGCTGTTTTTGTTTTTAAAACTCACATATGTACACGTGTATTGGTCATAACCTAAGCCAGAAAGTAATCTGATGCTTAAACATAAAAGATACTCATTTAAACATATTCAAGACCCATGGCCTATTTCGGGGACAGATTATATATATTCTTATAAGCATGCTGTAATCTTAGTATTTGTCTCTGCAGAAGACATACCTGTTTAGTAATAAGGACAACTCACGACCTGTTATGTTAAAAGTCCCAGATTCCATCTGACTTTTGATACGGTTTGAATTGTAGATAGTTTTATATTATATGTGTGTGTGTATATTAAAATTTTAACTCTTAACTAAGTACATATTTTCCTGTCAGTTACTACTCCTCTACTACTTTTACCAGCACATGCTCAGACATGTTGTGAGCAAAACAAACAGATGCCTGTAATTCCAGCACTTTGGAAGAAAGGATACTCTGAGCCCAGGAATTAAAGACCAACCTAGGCAACACAGTGAGACACATCTCTACGAAAACAATAAATAAAGAAAAGAGACCGAAGAAAAAGGATAACTAAATTCAATGTGTGATCCTGGACTAGAAACAATTCTTTTTCTTTTGCTGTGCAGGACATTAGTAGGACAACTAATTAACTCTGTCTGTAGACAGCAGAACTGTACCCATGTTTATTTAGAAAATACACAGCATAGTGTGTAGACATTAAAGACATCAAGTCTAAACTTCACTCTTAAACAATTCATTTTAAAACAAGAGTACTGTGTGTGTATGTAGAAAGATAATGATAAAGCAGATGTGATGAATATTAACATTTGAGGAATTTTAGTAGCATATACAAGAAGCATTTGTGCTATTTTTACAACTTATCTCTAAGTTTGAAACTATTTCACAATAAAAAGAAAAAAGACACAATAAATAAAAACAAAGGCAGTTAAGAAAAACTGTTTTCCCTAACAATACTGCTAGGATCATATTTACTGTATTCTAATCAGATCATAAAATTTTAGAGCTGGAAAAAAAGGTTATCTCTCTCCAAAACCTCCCAATTTATGGATGAAGACAATGAAGTCAAATGACTTGTGTAAGATCACACCTAATTCAAGAGCCATAACAAGCATCCAGTTTTGACTTAGCTCAGCAGACTTTCAACTATTGCAAACTTCCTTCATATCTTTATATTGTTGTCTGCTCCCTAAACATGTGATACCAAAAGTTTTGCCTCTATCTTCTGATATATTTTAATGTTAGTGTGATAAATGACTTTCAGACAATCTAAATTTTATTCTAAAAGGCATCTACATATTATTGTTCCTAACAATTCTTAATAACTACTGTCAATAAATACGTGAAGATCAGAATACATGTCAAATACTACAGCAAATGCTGAAAAGACAAAATTAACACACGCTACAGTTAGGTCTATGATGATAAAGACCAGGTTTGCATTATTCATCATTTATAACCCCACCTCTTCGTACAGTACCCGGCACATAATAAATATTTAAATGATCATTGATATTGCAAAATAAATGACAATCCACAGTACAGGAAAGAAATGTTGCATACAGATAATAATAATATTAGCAGTTTTAACAAAGTGCCATGAGACAACTGATAAGAAAGTTATTTTTGCTTGGTAAGATCCAGAAAGACTTCAGAGATTTAATGACACGAAGTTAAGTCTTGATGGACAAATAAGATTTCAACCATCATGGAAGCAGTGGGGTAAAACAGCCCAAAGGCAAGAAACTACTGAACATTTCTACTGATTTTTAAATAGGCTTACCTATTGTTGCTGCAAGTTCTGGATCAAAAGTATCATCTGTGAACCTCAAGAGCAGGCTAAAAGAAAGGTTAAAGTAACAGGTTAGGAATTTGACTTTTCTTTCTAATCATATGGCAAATGTGTTCATAATTATTACATTTTGTCACAATTAGATGCAGACAATAATAACTGATTTAGGGCCAAGCATGGTGGCTTTCACCTATAATCCTAGCACTTTGGGAGGCTGAAGTAGGAGGACTGCTTGAGGCCAGGAGTTCCAGACCAGCCTGGGCAACAAAGCAAGACACTTCATCTCTAACAACAAAAAAATTAGCCAGGCTTGTTAGTGCACACCTGTAGTACTTGGGAGCCTGCGGTGGAAGGATTGCCTGAGCCTAGGAGATGGAGGCTAGCAGTGAGCCATGATCATGCCTGTATTCTAGCCTGGATGACAGCATGAGACTCCAACTCAAAAAAAAAAAAAAAAAGGAAAAATTGATATAGGTCTGCTCCCAGGACTACTACCTCAGAGCAGGTATATACAGAGGAGTTAAATGCAATTTAAAAATTCCAAGAGTAAAGTAGTTTACTAGGAAATATATTCCCCATGTTCCCCTACACAATTCCCCAAATGTGAAAGCTGATTTTTCTTAAACTGTACTGATATGTCCTTCTGATATTAGCAACATGTCATGTTTTAATTGACATAGGCAAAAGGGGAAAAAAGAGTCTTGGAATGCAATTGACTGACCTTAAAAAAAAAATCTGATGTGTAATCCACTCTGAATTTAAGCACACACAGAAAGGTGCCTAGCATTTTGCAACAAGAGTATGGCCACAATTTACATGAGAAGAGGAAAACATAGTTAAAAGAGAGGGTAGAAAGATCACTCTGATCAAGTGGTACATAGGGTGTATAAAATTAAGCAGGTAACTGGGAGCTAGTGAAGGCTCTTAAAGAAAGGAATGACAAAAATTGCTGCAGGTACTGAAAAGTGGATGTTAACAAAAAGAATGGAAGAGGATCAATGAAAGAAACTGCCATGATTATGCTGAGAGAACAAAGGATTACCTAGGAAATGGTAAAGAAACCAGAAAGAAAGGGATAAAAGCAAAAGACACTAAATTAAAAGGGTACTCTAAGATCTTATGTCTCCCAGAATTAATTTTACTTAATATGAGGCAGAAGTATCAGTTAGTAGAAGCTCTTCAAAAATAAAATCTAAGCTTTTGCTAAAGTCTAGATTTTAAAATTAATCAGTCTTCTCTCATTTTAACTCCTGTTCTACTGACCTGCTTACATTAATAAAATCAAAGAAACAACTGCTGGATGTCTAAATTACAGAAAAATTCTAGGAATATTCCCATAGGTTGTGATTATTGCCACTAGAGACATTTTTGGTCCAGATAGTATTCTGCAAAACCTAATAATCTCCTGGTAGTTTCCAAATCAAGTGTCATTAATTATATTTGAAGGATTAACTCTTCCTTTCTTGGTTTTGTTTTCTAGTGTTTACTGTAAAACTATCACCACAGAATCAAAACAGAAGAGTCAAATTCCAGGTTTCCTATTTATCATCTTGACTATATTTACTTACTTCCAACAAAAGTTAGGTGAGAGCACAAATAAGATTCTTAAAGATTACTTATAAAAATTTCCCTGTTCCCTAACATACTCAGTTACCCATAATTTAAGAATAGAAAAAATATATACAGAGGATGCAAAAAAATATGCATTTTAAGGAAAAAATTGAATTAAAATTCTAATACTCTATTCTATACTGATAACAAAAGATTAGCCGGGCTTGGTGGCTCAGCCTGTAATCCCGCACCTTTGGGAGGCTGAGGTGAGTGGATTGCCCGAGCCCGCGGGTTCGAGACCCGCCTGGACAGGCAAGACCTCATCTCTACAATAAAATAAAAAAATTAGCCGGGCGTGGTAGCGCATGTCTGTAATTCCAGCTACTCGGAAGGCTGAGGCGGAAGGATTGCCGGAGCCCAGAGGGTCAAGGCTGTGGTGGCCGGGAGCAGCCACTGCACTCCAGTCTGGGCGACAGAGTGAGACTCCAACTCAAAAAAACAAAAACAAACAAACAAACAAAAAAAAGATGAATACAAGTCACTTTTGACCTCTGAAATTACAAGAGGTGCTCAAAGTGGTTATCATCAGCGTCCAGACACTTTTGATTACAGTGAACTAAAAGCAATACATAGACAACAGCCCTTAAAATGTATATACTGTTTTTTTTTGGCACCCTGGTATCTATACTTGGTCACCACATAAAATATTATTTAGAAAATAAGGTAACATAAATTTGTAGAGTAGCAGTAATAAGAACAATACCATACAATAATAACAATACTAATATTGGCTATTATTTATTAAACATAAGACACTAAGCCAGAGGTTTTTCTTTCATAATTACTACTTCTTAAAACAGCCCTTGTCATTAATGGTACTTGGTCAGGAAAGGCAGGGAACTGGTGGTATGGTTTGAAGCAACAAATTTTAATATGGGCTCAGAGTATAAATCATATCTTAGCCAGAAGTACACTGGTAGCCCAAAATATATTCTACATTCTATGTATCCATTTTTCTAGGCAGAGAGTCAAATAGACAGAGTCTATTAGACTTTGAAAGGAATCCACAATCCCAAAATTATTAAGAAGCACCATTCATACAGTATTGTACAGTTACATCTTCATATTTTTGAAGTTAAAGGAGCAAAATACTCTCCATGCAGAGCTAAAGATGGAAGGAAGAAAGTCACTTTTAGATAAGACCAAATTTATAGTAAACACAGTGTGATTATAACTAATCTGCATTTCTTTAGTTACAAATTAAATTCACCAAAAAAGGATAGCAGGAAGTGTAGGACAGCAATTTAGATAACAGAAGGACTCTATAATCCCTTCTAGTTGCTGACACACTTCACTACATCTTTACTTCACCAGGCCTAGCCACAGAATCATCTTAAACGTTTAACATTAAATAGGGTTTGAGAAGTTTCTATTCCAAACCCCTCACTTTTCAAATGAAGACCTGCAGCATTCAATTGTCACACACAAGGTCACACAATTGGCAGCCTCAGTTCACAATTTTGATCTCCTGACTACTGCCACAAACCCTTTACACTCCAACTCTATGAAATAAACTGGAAAATAATCCACTGATTCTGATTAGTTAAGATATCCTTCATTGTCAATAATGCTTCAACAACACAACTGCTATCTCACTTCCACTAGGATTCAGTTCTGTAAAGAAACACAAAGAAACCATTGGTTAAAACCTTTTAAGATCATATTCATGACAAATGTCCAACTCACTTAAAAGGCACAGACTTCTATTTTAATGGAGTTATTTACTATCATCCAGAAAGGTAAGGTGTTCAAGATTGTTTTCCATAGCATATCACATAGGTCAGTGCTTACCCACCTAGAAAAGACAGTTTTCTCCCTAACTGCTCCCTTCTTAAAAGAGGCAAAGCATTAAAATTTTGCAGCGAGTAGTTGATAATTTACCATTACATATTGAGGAAAAAGTTTAAAGTAGATTAGGCCCAAATAAGTTTGTTTAGGGAGAACAAACTAGGGAGACCAATAAATTCACTTAACAGAACTCATTCTACAAGGAGAACCTTATTTATGTACTCCAATTAACTAAAATGTTAACACATCTTAACTTGTCACCCATGCAACATATTCAGATAAATTGCCAACCATATATTGAGTTGAAACACATGAAACGACAACCAACTATTCTTGCTTTCAAAACCAACAATTTCATATGTGAGGACCATATCTCAAGGAAAAAAGGATATCAAGATCATAAGGGCATGGAATTCCTATTACAACGTTAACTATATTAACCAATTTTTATCCCTCAAATATATCTGTGTAATAGCGGGTGGTGATGAAAAAAAGAATCTTATTTAGCTTTTTAACACACACACACACACACACACACATCACACTATTTTGCTAAATGAGTGTCTCATTCTGTGGTATGTGCAAATCCCTCACTCCAGTATATTCAGAGTACACTAAATGATAAATCCTGTGAAAACGTATTGTCAAACTTTAAAGATACATAAAATTTCAGAATATATTACATAATAAGCTTTCAAATCCTTAAGTAGTTAAAAAAGTCAGATTTTATGAAGTGATTAAAAAGTTATCGGGAAAGATGTATATCAGGAGGTATTGCTGAAATATGAAGCTGATTACAGTCTCTGGAGTTTTAATGGTGTTTAAATATGGACACTGCCTAGAATATAACCTACTCATAATCAGATGGCAAGAATGACTTCACTTAAAGAACTCTGTTCCAAGATCTGGATGAAATCACAATTTTCTAGCAACATCTACCTAGATCCATACCTTACCTAACATTCAACTCTAACTGCTGTCAGTATAATTTTCACCAATGAAAAAGTAAGAAACGAAGACACAATACTAACTTGTCCTTTGATCTCCATATGATGTGGCAAAATAATAAGTAAAAATTGGCGGAGCATAGTGGCTACCTCCTGTTATCCCAGCACTTTGAGCCCAGGAGTTCAAGACCAGCCCTAAGCAACACTGGAGACCTCATCTCTACAAAAAATTTAAAAATTTGCCGGGCGTGGGGCACATGCCTGTAGTCCCAGTACTCAGAAGGCTGAGGAGAAAGGAAGGATAGCCTCGGCACAGAAGGTCAAGGCTGCGGTGAGTTGTGATCGTTTCACTGCACTCCAGCCTGAGGGACTAAGACTTCAACTAAAAAAAAAAAGTAACAATTACATTTTATTTTCATAGGTCGTCTCACATTTTTACACTAAGTGAATTTTTCAGTCACAAGACCAGGCAGTTCTTTCACAGCTAATAAAACAAAACAAACGAAAAAAGAAAAAAGCGACAATAAGCTGCGCCAAAATAGGCGAGGAATGTGATCCAAGGCGTCACAAAATTTCCTGTGTAGAATGTGACGTCTTTAGAGAAAGCGCCTCAGAAACCCCAGGGTGACAAAGTTATAGCTCCAAGCTCCGGAGCTTAGGCAGGGGGCACCGGTGTCCTAAAACGAGGATTCAGGGGATAGGTGACAGGAGACCTGAACCCGGGGCTGAGAAGGTGGGTATGACAGGCGGCCTGAAGCGGGGCTCAGGCGGGGGTGACAGGCAACCTGGGCCAGGGACTCGGGCAAGGGTGACAGGAGGCCTGGACCTGGCTTGGGCGGGGGAGACAGGTGGCCTGGACTCAGGGCTTAAGACAGGCGTACTGGCGGCCTGCACCCGGGCTCGGGCGAAGGAGCAGGCGGCCTGGGCCAGGAGCTCGGGTGAAGGGACAAGTGGCCAGGACCGGGGGCTCGGGTGCGGCACCACCCCGCAGCATACGCCCGGCCGGGCGACGGCCCTCGGGGTTGTTTTCTTTGTGCTACAGGAGGGGAAGCGGTTCGAAGAACTTGGGCCTGGAAGGGGCGGTGACCCGGCGGGCGGGCGGGGCGCGGGGCCCAGGAGGCGGCGGAGCCCCGAACCCGGCCCAGCTGGGCCCAGCCCGGCCGCTGCCGTTCCCGTCGCGGCCCAGAAGACGGCAGAGGCAGAAAGGGTCCGCCTCACCTGGACTTGCCCACTCCACTCTCGCCGATGATGAGGATCTTCAAGGTGGTCAGCACGTCCTCGTCCATCCTGACCCCCCCTCCGCTCCGAGCCCAGCTGGCCGTTCGGGTCTGCCTCTCAAGCCTTTGGACGGGAAGCTTCCGCGCATGCGCCCCGCCCAGCGGCTGCCACCTTCCTTCCGCACCGGGTGTTGGGGTGGCCGAATCCCGGTACGCCCCAGTTCCGCCTCGAGGTAGCTCCGCGTCGGCTTACACCCAGTCCCAGGCGTCCTTCCGGTAGCGGGCTCTTGCCCTGCGCAAGCGCAGAAGGGGAGCGCCGTATGGGCGGTGTAAGCTTCTGCGTGGCGTGAGCTCCTCCCCCTGGCTTTCCCGAACCCTCCTTTCACTTTGTAGGTGGGGGAGGACTGAGGCGTGGGAGTGTAAAGCTGTCTTATTTCAACAGCGGCTCGTAACAGCTGCACTGCCGTGGGAAAGCACTCTGCGCGAAGCATGGCATCTTAAAAGTAGGCCCAGCTGTACCGTGTGGCCTTGTTGTACCTCCAGGCCCGCGCCCCGTCGCGGTGACACTTCCTGCAGTTCTCTCTGCTTCTTAGACTCGCTATGAAGACTACCCGCCTTACGCCCGAAGAGCACCCTTGGCGTGGCAGTTCCTCTCGAAGGGGAGGTGCAGGTGGTCAGGGGCACCTGCACCTCTCCATAAGAATTGCTGTACCCCGACTGCAGGAGCTGTGGTATACACCTTGTTGCCGCCACTGTGGTATACACCTTGTTCACCGTCAGTGAAGGGACTAAGCCTCGCATAGAACCTAGCAAAGTGCCTGGTCCATGGCTCAATAAGTTCTCTTCCTTACATTTGCAGCTAATGTCATAGACCGTAGGCATTTCATTAAAGAATACATATAAACAAAGTTTACAATAAGTTAATAATTTGTTAAATACCTGGAGAAGCTCTTCCACCAGATATCCAAATGGCTCCCTCACTTTTAGGTGTTTGCTCAGACGTTGCCTCCTGAACGAGGCCTTCCCTGTGCATGTTACTGAAACCTGGCCATCCCTCTGGTATTGCCTAGACATCTTTGCACTGTTTTTGTGTATAGCACTTACCACTCCCGAATTTCCTATACATTTTACTACTTTATTTGTTCACGAAAAAGACATCTCATGAGGGCAAGGATTTTTTGACCTGTTTTGTTTACTGTCATGTCCTCAGTGTCTAGAGTACTTTCTGATACATATGTGCTAAATAAATATCTGATGAATAAATTGAGTGACTGGTTCAGACTCCATTCCTAACCTTAGAGAATGATGTCAATGATGTCAATCCTTTTATAAAATAGCGCTTGAAACTCCCATCACGTCTATCTAGCTTACTTTTTGTGATGGCATCAAGACTTTGTTTGTGAGATTCACAGTATTGTCAAACACTCCCACTCTGGGGCAGTAATTCTAAAAGTGTGGTCCCCGGATGCCTAAAGATCCCTGAAAATCTTTCAGGGTGTTTGTAAGACCAAACTATTTTCATGCTTATTCTCTCACGAGATTATTCTCTCATGAGTTTTCTAGAGGCTACATAATGTGATAGCAAACCAGATTGAAGGAAAAACCAGACAGGAAAATCCAGCTGTTTTGAGGGGAAAAAAATTGCCAACTATATATCTGACAAAGGCCTAACATCCAGGATCTACAAGGAACTTAATTATGACAAAAGGAAAAAAACAAACAGCCCCATTAAAAAGTGGGCAAAAGGCATGAATAGACACTGCTTTAAAGAAGATATATGGGCAGCCAACAGATACATGAAAAAGTGCTCAGCCTCACTAATCATCAGAGAAATGTAAATCAAAACTATATTGAGATACCACCTAACCCCAGTAAGAATGGCCATCATTAATAAAACAAACAACAACAGATACTGGAGAGGATGTGGAGAAAAGGGAAGACTTCTACACTGCTGGTCGGAATGCAAACTAGTTCAACCTCTATGGAAAACAGTGTGGCAATTTCTGTAAGAACTAGAAATTGACCTTCCATATGACCCAGCAATCCCCCTATTGGGAATATACCTAGAGGAACTCAAATGATTCTACCAAAAAGATACCTGCACACGCATGTTTACTGCAGCATTATTCACTGTAGCAAAAACACAGAACCAACCGTGCTGGCCATCATAACCACACTGGATAAAAAAAATGTGGTACATATACACAATGGGATATTATGTAGCTGTAAAGGACAAACACATGGACTTCGCAGCAACTTGGATGGATTTGGAGTCTATCATACTCAGTGATCTATCACAGAAACAACTGAGTACCAAGTGCTGAGTTCCAGTGGACCCTGAACATTTGCCATAATACTATAAGAAAGGGATTGGCAGTAGTGGTATATTGCCAGAGCGGGAGGGGACACAAAACATCAAAAGCATACCTGATCTCAAATCAGGCAAAGTTGGGATCAAAGACAGGCCCAAATTTTACTTGTACGATGCCCACTTATATACCTAATCCTGAATTTTAAAATAAAATATATATTTTAAAAAGGAGAATTCAGCTGTTTTCTTTTAAACCAAATATTAAACAGAGTTCCTAAAATGTAAAACATTGTCATTCTTCCCATTTTTTGGTGTGCTAAGGTAGTTATTTTTATAAGCATTTCTATTAGTAATGAGCTGATTATTATTAAGTTAATTAACACATATGTTTACATTTTCTCAGTTTTAATTTAATTTATTTTTTATTTGCATCAGCGACTTACTTGTCTCTTAGACTGGAGTGCAGTGGCACAATCACAACTCACCACAGCCTCAACCTCTTGGGCTCAGACATCCTTCCACCTCAACCTCCCAAGTAGCTGGGACTATGGCAAACATCACCACACCCAGCACTATTTTTACTTCTTTGTTTTTTGTAGAGATGAGATCTCACCATATTGCCTAGGCTGGTCTCAAACTCCTGGCTCAGAAGGAAATCAGAAGCCACCACTCCCAGACCTCAGTTTTAATTTCTTGTAGGGGAAAAGTCAACAGATATAACCTCACAGTCAGGCTCAGTGGCTCAGCCTGTAATCCTGCGCTTTGGGAGGCTGAGGTGAGTGGATTGCCTGAGCCCGCGGGTTCGAGATCCGCCTGGGCAACTTGGCGAGACCTCATCTCTACAATAAATCAAAAATTAGCCGGGCGTGGTAGCACACGCCTGAACTTCCAGCCACTTGGAAAGCTGAGGCGGAAGGATCGCCGGAGCCCAGCAGATGGAGGCTGCAGTGGCTGGGAGCGGCCACTGCACTCCAGTCTGAGTGACAGAGTGAGACTCCAACTCAAAAAAAAAAAAAAAAAAGAAAAACCTCATAATCAAAAGCTCTTTTGAGTCCTCATTTATTTGTAAGAGTATACAATAATTTGTATAACCATAAAGTTTGAGAACTACTGAATGGTGCTATTCATACCAAGATAAATACAAAAACTAAAAACTCCTTATCAATAAGCCCAGGACTACGCAAAAAGTAACAGTGTTGACAGCCATGGGCAATACCGTGTTCTCTTGGATTCCTTCTATCTCTTGACCATTTCTCAGTTTTTGTGTGATCTTCTTGTTCATCTTTTAAACATTTTTGTCCTTTGGGTTTTGCCTGGTTTTGTTTTCCTGCTCTACCTACACTGTCCTCTGATTGTCTTCTTAGACTTACATGGCTTCTTCATCACCATTCACTTTGACGAGTTCCAGCTTCTGTCTCTGGCTGAGATTTCTCTACTGAGGTTCAGGCCATCATACACAGCTGCCAAGACATCTCCATGTGGGCATGCCAAGTTGGGGTATGCTGAGATAAACGTGCCTGACACTGAGCTCACTATCTTTTCATCTACACTAGCTTTTTCTTCTGATTTCCTTCTTAGTGAATGACATTAATACCCACTTAGCTTCCTCTCCCTCACTTCCCACATCCTTCTAGTCCTCACAGTTCTAACCTTAAGCATGTCTAAAACTTATTCACTATTTTCACCTCTTCCTCATGATTACAGTCAGGTCTTCAGCATCATCTGTTTGTGAATTACCATATCAGCTGCCCAATTGGCCTTTCTGCCTCCGCTTTCCTCTCCTCTCACACTATCTTCTATACTGCAGCTAAAATAGTATTTCTAAAATGCAAATCTGAGTCACCTGCCTTCTTAAAAGCACCAATAGGCTACTTAGTGCTTTTACAAGTGTTTGTTCTCTTTTCGTAAGACCTGATTATGCCTCCAACCTCATCTCTTGCTGTTTCATGCTTTGCAACTGTGTTCAAGCCAAACCAAAATCCTTTCCTATTTTCAGTGAGCTATTTTTCGCTTGTCTCCAGGACCCTGTACATGTTGTTCCATCTGCCTGAAGTACTCTTCCTGTCTCCCATTTTCTGAGCATACACAAGCACCCATACTTTTGCTTGGACAGCTCCTACTCATCCTTTATATTCGTATTCCAGATTTGAATCCCGTTCTCTGGGATGACTTTCCTGTCTTCCCAGGCCAGCATCACGTGCTCGTCTGAAGTATTCTCCTATTGTCCTATGTTTCCACTGTGGTATATATCCCACAGTATTATGATTAGCTTCGCAGTCCCTGGCGATTCCGGCGCCTGCACCCCATGAAGGACCCTTATCCCACAGCATTATAACTGTATGCTTAATTGTCTGTTCCCCTACCAGAATGTGTGCTTCCTGAGAGCAGAATTGATTAATGTCCCGCTCATTGTTTTGTCGCCAACATCTAGAACAATACCTACCCTAGAGTAGTTGCTTAAAAAATATTTGTTGATAGAAAAACCCAAGTCATTCCAAAAGAAAAGTTAATTGGAAAAAGAAAAAAGAAAAAAATTTAAAAAAACAAAAACCCCAGGTCATCATCCTCAGGTATTTAGAACAAATATAGACTGCTTGTTTATTTGTTGTTTATATAGGTTTGAGATGTCTCTTGAATCTCTATCTTGAGTGTTAGGTCTAAAAAAAAACCAAAAAAAAACCCCCCAAAAAACAGTTACTTATAGTGCATATCCATTATCATACTGCTAGAAAGAAAGCATTCATGCACAGATAAGGAAAGACAATATTTTATATGCAAAATGAGGGATATATACAATAGGTGCTCAAGAAATTCAGACAAAGAGTATTTGATCATTGAAGCTTAGGGCAACCAGAAAAGACTTCACAAAGGAAGCAGGACTTGAAAGAAGGTGCAGTTTTTGCTGCCTGTGCTTTTGAGGTCTTAGTCATAAAATATTTGCCTAGACCAATGTCTTAAAATGTTAATAAACAAAGATTTCAGACAAATTAAACAGAGTTTAATTGAGCAAAG